GTGTTCCCAGTCCACCTGTGTTCCCAGTCCACCTGTGTTCCCAGTCCACCTGTGTTCCCAGTCCACCTGTGTTCCCAGTCCACCTCAGCTTTTCTCTTTGTGCTTTAGGAGTGTGTTTGTTGGCCTGAGCAGTAGTGTGGTTCTGGGGACTGACCCAGATGAAATGGGCTAGAGCCGTCCAGGATCGGACCGCTCTCATGTGGATAACCGTGATCGGTCGTCCTTTCACGCACTCCTGAGTCTGTTTGCTATCAGGTTCTTTTTTCCACCATGGAGTCACTTCACCTCGGCTCTGAGCCTCTTTGTTCTCGCTGCCGTCTCCCTTCCAGACGTGGTTCTGGTTACCGTAACCTCAGACCTCACAGCAGCCTGTAGAACAACTACCCCCCCCAATATGTCACAGATTTCCTGATCCGTACCGTCAGCCTGCTGTGTGGTTCTTTAGCTGAAGGAAAATGTGTTTTTGTCTGCAGATCCCATGAGCTGCGCTCTAAAATCGTCTCCCTGCAGCTGCTGCTCTCCGTGCTGCAGGGGGCCGGCCCGGTCTTTCGTACCCATGAGATGTTTGTAAACGCCATCAAGCAGTACCTCTGTGTGGCTTTGTCTAAAAACGGCGTCTCCTCCGTGCCTGAGGTGTTCGAGCTCTCGCTAGCTATCTTCCTAACTCTGCTATCCCACTTCAAGGTCCACCTGAAGATGCAGATTGAGGTACAAAGACCTTCTCATCTCTCCTCGTTTGGCAGCCATGCTGCCCGGTCCTGGTGGTCCGTGCTGACTCTTTACTTTTTCATTTTAGGTTTTTTTTCGGGAGATCTTTCTCACTATCTTGGAGACATCAACCAGCTCCTTCGAGCACAAGTGGATGGTTATTCAGACCCTGACCCGCATCTGTGCAGGTAAAAACTTGACCAAACACCTCCTGACTAGGATGAACACATCAGCTCCTCTGCTTCAGTTTGGTAAGAGGGAAGCAGAACTTCCTTGAGACCGAAGTTAGCTATTAACATCACTAACGACCCTGCTAACATTAGCAGTGAGGTTAGTAGCGTCTGTAGCAACATTAGCAGCTTTTATAGCGACGTTAAAAGCGTTGATGGCGACGTTGGCAGCGTCTTTGCTGGCGTTATCAATGTCGTTGGTAATGGTAGCAGCATTGTTAGAGCCGTTAGCAGAATCCATAGTAATTTTAGCCTCGTCGATAACGACCTTAGCAATGCTGTTAGTAATGTTGGCGTTGTGACGTAAGCGGCGTCGTAGGTGACGTAAGCAGCGTCGTCGGTGATGTTAGCAGCGTCGTTGGTGATGTTAGCAGCGTCATCGGGGACGTTAGCAGCGTCGTCGGGGACGTTAGCAGCGTCGTCGGTGACGTTAGCAGCGTCGTAGGTGACGTAAGCAGCGTCGTCGGTGACGTTAGCAGCGTCGTCGGGGACGTTAGCGGCGTCGTCGGGGACGTTAGCGGCGTCGTCGGTGACGTTAGCGGCGTCGTCGGTGACGTTAGCAGCATCGTCGGGGACGTTAGCAGCGTCGTCGGGGACGTTAGCAGCGTCGTCGG